GCTCTGGTGTCAGTTTTAAGGTTTTGTAGGAGCTATTTTAACCTTTTTTACATTTGAAATTATTCTTTGTTTAATTTATTTCAGATTACCTTTTGTTACAATATTTTGCATAAATATTTAGTTAGTTTTTTTGTTTTTGTTGTATTAGTTAAATTGTAAATATTGTGTTAAATTGGGAAACCTATAAGCATGTGCTCTAGTATTGGACCAGCATGCATTGGGGTAGGCATATGGTTTTTTACCTGAGCAGAAGAGAGTGTGGTGGAACAAAAATGTTTGCGTGTTAATTTTTGGAAGTTCCTCATTTTTTTGGATTAAATCAATGCAAGGTATCTACATGGTTTTGGTCAATGGACTTCTTTTGCCTGCGTTGAAAATACTGCCCCACTGCAATAGTGACCATTTAAAAATATTTGAACTTTAAAGAAAATGGCCACTACAGGTTTATTTCACAGATTTGATCTTTTAGCTTCTGTTTTGGTCATTTTAACTTGGAGTTATTGCTTTTCTGGATTTTTAGCTAGTTTTGCTTTAGTGTCATCTTTTAGCTATTATTTTGCTAACTTTAGGTTTTAGGTCTTGTTTTATGCAGGGGATTCTGATGTTATCAGTCCATGAAATGTACGTTATTAGGTGTTATCAGTCCCATACAATGGCTTCAGAGGGTCCCTACTGTGCCTTCTAGGCTTCAGACAGTGCCCCCTAGTGGGTTAATATATTAATGACAATGAAGTAACCAAAACATATTGTAATAAATTTTTGGTGTCTGTGTCAAGCTCGAGTCCTGGTCTCCCACTCTCTGGTCCAACACTTTACCCACTGCCCTATTGAGAGGCCACAATAAATGTTCGTCGGAGGTTAGCGCTAACCATGTCATTTGCTCTAAGGTTAACCTTGGTGGCTTTAAGCCTCAAATTAACCTGATTTTTTATGCCTCATACTAACCAGCTGACAATCAGAAGCCATTCTATGGGACGGGGAACCTGCTAACCGGCACAGGCGGGACATTCTGAAGCCATTCTATGGGACTGATAACRCCTRATAACGTCCATTTCATGGATGATAACATCCGAAGCGRGTGTTTTATGTAATTTAGTTTMATCTTCAACRCATTTTTCATGCTTCAGTTTCTTTAATCTACTTTCAGTTTCTTTTTCACAACCAAGTCATTTCCATGAATTGATAAATGTTTGATTATTTAATTATGTTCAGTGAGGATGAACTGAGTGTTTGTAATAATAAAAAGAAGAAGGAAGCTCTACAGTTTGTTGGGTTCTACAGAAACATTGGCTGGTGTTATCTTCAGTGTTTGTTGTTGTTTCACAGCGTTAAAGTAAGGAAACAGCGGGTCTGTGAAGCTGTGCGTGAACGTGTGGATGTTTGTGTTGGTGTCGGGGTCACTGAAGGTCACCCTCTTCCTGTCGCAGTCCAGATGGACCCGGACCCTCCTGACTTTGGTTTTGATGGTGAGAGCTGTCGAAGCAGTTTGGCTGGAGTCGGCAGTATATTTCCCATCGCAGAGGGAGATTTTTAAGAGCGCTGGGATTTCATCCGCGCTAGTCGAGGCGGGCTTCGTCGAGACCCCCACCCCCCAGAGCGGACTGTCTCCGACCTCCACRTCCCAGCTGTGGGTCTTCGAGTCGAAACCCTCCGAGCCCAGGACGGCCGGGTAGGACAGGATCCTCTCGGCGTTTTCAGGAACCTCCTGCTTCTCGTCTCGCCTCACGCTGGTGAGGTCRCCGGAYAGGACGAGGTCCCGGTGGGCCGTGTTTGGATCCAGGATCACGGGCGAGTAGGAGRCCAGCTCCTTCATGCCGGTCCAKATGTWGWAGCTCAGGTTGCCCAGGTGTTTGGTCTGATCGATCAGAGCTCCTGGGATCAGCTGTGGATCCTCCAGCAGGAGATGCAGCTGCATCTTCTCCGCTGTTAGCACGTAGCTGTTCAGGAAGGGAACATCTCCAGACTCCAGGTCTTTAATCGTGGACTGGATCGTCTTTGAGATGGACTCCATTTCCTTTTCAACACCTTTAATCTTCTCCGTCATCAGCTGAGTTTTCTCTTTCTCCTCCTCCTTCAGAGCAGCGATCCGGACACTTTCTTCTCGCTCTAAAAACTGACGGAGCTTCTTGAACTCCTCTCTGATCTGCTTCTCCGTCTGAAGACTCTGGACCTGGATGTGTTTGGCCGTTTGGTCATAGTTTTCTTTGAMCTGCTCGAAGGTTTTTCGTTTTTCCAGGACGAGGGCGAGGACGTCCTGGGTCTGCTGGCCGTACTCCCTCGCGGCCTCGTCCACGGGTTTGAACCGGTGGCCGCTGTGAGTTTTGGAGTCCCGACAGATGACGCAGATGGGACGCAGGTGATCCTGGCAGAACAGTTTGAGCTTCTCGGAGTGCTGAGAGCAGAAATCCTCCGACATTTTTTCTCAGTTCTGCACAGAAAAAAAAAACCAGGACTGAAAGGAGGATTTGGTTTTTTTTATTTTATTTCTCATCCACCGGCTTTAATACTCACAGTTTCTGTTCTGTCCTGTAGTTCCTTCGTCTTCTCAGACTTTCAGCTTCAGTTTGATGAATCMGACCGTCTCTTTGTTCTCTTGTAATCGAAAGAGATTTTTCTTCAGCTCAGAGGTGGAGCTTCAACCAGTTTTTCCAGCTCTGAATTTGTTTTGATGTAACCAGTTAACTGTGAAAAACACAGTGAGCATTTGCTTTAACTTCTTTAAAGGGATCCCTAATTAGTTGTAACATTAGACTTTATTTGATAAACATATATTTTAAC